TAGTAGTAGTAGTAGTAGTAGTAGTAGTAGTAGTAGTAGTAGTAGTAGGAGTAAGAAGTAGGAGTAGGAGTTAGTAGTAGTAGTAGTAGTAGTCGTAGTAGTAGTAGTAGTGGTGGTGGTGTGGTGGTGGTGGTGTTGGTGGTGGTAGGTGGTGGTGGTGGTGGTGGTGGGTGGTGGTAGTGTAGTAGTAGCAGTGGTGGCAGTGGTAGGTAGTGGTAGTAGTGGTAGTGGTAGTGGTAGTGGTAGTGGTAGTGGTAGTGGTAGTAGTGGTGGTAGTGGTGGTAGTGGTGGTAGTGGTAGTAGGTAGTAGTAGTAGTAGTAGTAGTAGTAGTGGTAGTAGTAGTAGTAGTAGTAGTAGTAGTAGTAGTAGTAGTAGTAGTAGTAGTAGTAGTAGTAGTAGTAGTAGTAGCAGGGTTGACCTCCGTCTGTTTGCCCAAGGGCGCGCCTGGCGCCGCTGGCGCGCCTGGCGCGCCTGGCGCACCTGGCGCACCTGGCTCACCTGGCACTCCTGGCGCACCTGGCGCGCCTGGCGCACCTGGCTCACCTGGCGCACCTGGCGCGCTGGGCGCACCTGGCGCACACCTGGCGCACCCTGCGCACCAGGCACACCTGGCGCACCCTGCGCACCTGGCGCATCTGGCACCGCTGGCGCGCCTGGCGCGCCTGGCGCACCTGGCATCGCTGGCGCGCGTGGCGCACCTGGCGCGCCTGGCGCACCTGGCGCACCTGACGCACATGGCACACTTGGCGCCCCCCCCAGAGCACCTGGCGCGCCTGGCGCACCGGGCGCACCTGGCACACCTGGCGCGCCTGGTGCACCTGGCGCCCCTGGCGCACCTGGCGCGCCTGGCGCGCCTGGCGCACCTGGCGCGCTGGGCGCACCTGGCGCACGCCTGGCGCACCTGGCACACCTGGCGCGCCCCTGCGCACCTGGCGCACCTGGCGCGCCTGGCGCACCTGGCTCACCTGGCGCACCTGGCGCACCTGGCGCACCCTGCGCGCCTGGCGCATCTGGCGCGCCTGGCGCACCTGGCGCACATGGTGCACCTCTCGCACCTGGCGCACCTGGCGCGCTGGGCGCACCTGGCGCGCTGGGCGCACGCTGGGCGCACCTGGTGCCAAGCTATACGATGCAGATACGAAGCATTTGCGACACATGTAGAACGCATATACGGAAGATATGCGAAACATATACGGCACAATTGCGAAACATATATGACACACATACAAACCATATGCGAAACGTATACACGCCATATACAACACATGTACAACACATACACGAAACATACACGAACACTCACGAAACACATGCGAAACAGATACGAAACATTTACGGAACATATACGAACCATATACAACACATATACGAATTATATACGAAACGTACACGAACTTTATGCGAAACGTATAGGAAGCGCAGGCGAAACGCATCCGACACATGCACGAAGCGCATGCGAAACATTTACGAACCACATACGAAACAGATGCGCAACATATGCGAAACATACACGAAACAGATGCGACACCTATACGACACATATACGAACCTATACGAAATATACGAAACATATACGAACCTTTACGTAACATATACGAAACGTAAACGAAACGCATGCGAAACGCATGCGAACCGTATACGGAACACACGAAACGTATACAACGCATCTACGTAACATATACGAAACATACGAAACCAATACGAACTACATGCGGAACCTCTGCGAAACACATATGCAACACATGCGAAACATATGCGAAACAAATGCGAGCCGCTCGCGGAACGCGCACGAATCATATGCGAAACAAATACGAAACACATGCGAAACCAATGCGACACACATGCGAAACATCTACGACACATATACGATAAATACGGTGTATATATATAAGCACGAAACATATACGAACATGCACGAAACACGCACGCAACACATGCGACATATTTACGAAACATATACGAAACCGCCGCGAACAATTCGCAAAACAAATACGAAACGCATGCGAAAAATGCGAAACATATACGAGTCATGTACGGAACATATACAAAACATTCACGACACGCATAGGAAACGCATGCGAAACACATGCGAAACACATGCGAAATTAGTACGAAACATATACGAAACATATACTACACATACACGAACCACATAGGAACCATTTACGAAACAAATACGAACCGCATGCAACACACATGCAACATATACGAAACAGATGCGAAACAGATGCGGAATGTGCACATATACGAATCCGAACAGCACGCGAACCATATACGAAACGCACGCGGAACAGATGCGACACAGATGCGAACAATATACCAAACATATACGAACCATTTACGGAACACTTGTGAACCATAAGCGAAACGCATGCGACACATATGCCAAACATATGCGAAACAAATGCGAAACATATGCGCGACGTACGCGCACGCAACACATTTGCAACGTATACGCAACACTTACCACATGCGAAACATATACGACACATATGAAACATACACGAAACAAATACGAAACACATGCGATACATATGCGAAACATGCGCGAAACATTTACGAACCACATGCGAAACATATTCAATACGCATGCGAAACATATGCGACGCAGATGCGAAACATATACGAAGCACCTACGAAACGTATACGAAGCATATGCGGAACATATACGGAGCCAGCGCGAAGCATACACGTATACGAAACACGCGCACCACAGACGCGAAACATATACGAAGCACATGCGGAACCACTGCGACACCAATACGAAACATTTACATACACGAAACATGTGCAAAACATAAACGAAACAAATGCGAAACATATACGATACATATACGAACCATTTACTCAACACGCACGAAACGCATGCGCAACACGCGCGCAACATATACGAACACATATGCGAAACGCACGCGGAACACCTACAACACATTTGCGAAACATACATCCAACGCACACGCAACGCACGCGCCACATATACGCAACACATGCGCAACAGATGCGCAACATATGCGAAATATTTACGAACCATTTACGAAACATGCACGAAGCATTTACGAAACATTTACGAACCTATACGAAGCGCATGCGAAACATCTACGAAACATGCACGAAACATGTACGAGACCTATACTAATCAAATACGAAACAGGTACGAAACGCATACGAAACATATGCGAAACATATGCGACACGTATACGGAACCAACACGACACATGTACGAAACATGTACGAAACATTGACGAAGCATTTGCGAAACAGACGCGCAACATATACGAAACATAAACGAAACATATAAGACACATGTTCGAAACATGCACGACATATTCACGACGCATACATGAAACGTATGCGAAACATGTACGAAACGTTCACGAAACATATACGAAACCTATACGGAACAGAACCTATACGGAACAGATGCGACACATACACGAAACAGACACGAAACAAAACAAAACATGTTCGACACATGTACGAAGCATATACGGAACATATACCGAACCATTACGAACCATAGACGAATCATATGCGAAACACATACGTAACACATACGAAACAAACACGGAACAACCATATACGAACCATGTACGGAACCTATACGGAACATACACGAAACATATACGAAACGTATACGAACCATATACGAAACATATATGTAACATATACGAAACATATGCGAAACATATACGCAACATTTGCGAAACATATACGAAACGCGCACGGCGCATCCGCAGCACAGGATCCTCACCACACTCCTTAAACTCCTTACACTCCTTACACCAGATTAATTGGGCAAACCGAAGGAGGTCAGCACTAGTAGTAGTAGTAGTGGTAGTAGTAGTAGTAGAAGTAGTAGTAGTAGTACTGGTCGTGGTAGTAGGAGTCGTAGCAGTCGAATAAGTTTAATAGTAGTGGTAGTCGTCGCCGTAGTAGTAGTAGTAGTCGTAGTAGTAGTAGTAGTAGTAGTTGTTGTTGTTGTCGTCGTAGTAGTAGTAGTAGTAGTACTAGGTCGTAGCCGTAGTAGTAGTAGTCGTAGTAGTAGTAGTAGTAGTAGTAGTAGTAGTAGTAGTCGTAGTAGTAGTAGTAGTAGTAGTAGTAGTGGAAGTAGTAGTAGTAGCAGTAGTAGTAGTAGTAGTAGTAGTAGTAGTAGTAGTAGTAGTAGTAGTAGTAGTAGTATTAGTAGTAGTAGTAGTAGTAGTTGTAGTAGAAGTAGTAGGAGCAGTCGTGGTAATCGTAAACGCACTAGGAGTAGTCTACGTAGTCATTGTAGTCGTAGCATATACGTTGCAGTAATATGCGTGGCCGTGCTGTTGTTGGATTTGTCTCTCTAGAGACACTGGTCTAACTACGATCAACAGTACTTATACCGCCATTTCTTGTACTAGAGCGACCACTGCTTGCAATGGTAATGCTGCGTTGTTTTGTTTTTTGGGTGCTGTTATTCGTCGTCGCCACCAGTCGTCGTCGCCATCGTCGTCGTCGTTGCCGCTGGTCGTCTTTGTTGTAGCCGCTGTCATCATTGTCGTCGTCGTCGTCGCTGGTCGCCTTCGTCGTCTTGGTCATCGCCGTCCTTGCAGGTCGTCGTCGTCCACGTCACCGTCGTTGTTTTCGTCTTCGTTGCTGTTGTCGTTGTCGTCGCTGCTGGTGGTCGTCGTTGTCCTCGTCAATTCCTTGGCCTTCACAGGTACTCCTGCTGCTCGTACTTGCGACTGCCATGATATTTGGCAGTACCATACCCGAGCCCGCCACGTGACCGTTACTGCGGGCCCCAGGAATCCACAGCACCACCACGTCGATTCCTCCTCTCTCTACTACTTTTTTCTGCCTCGCCTCTTTCCTGGAGGGGGAGGGGGGGAGAGAGGTGGTGGTGGTGGTGTATACGTTTGGGCCCCGCAGTTACTCCCCCACGGCGGGTAGACCTTCCCCTGCCACGCTCTTCTTGTATGCGTGAGTGATGTCGTCGACGAACATGTCGGAAGCCCCTCGCTCGGCCGAGGCATCCGGACGTCGCCTGCGAGTCCAGTGGCCAGCGTTGTCGCGACGCTTGCGGCGGCCATCTTGCAGGAGCTGGTTGCGTAGAAGTTATCCACCCGGGTGCCGAGGTGAGGCCCGCGCGAGCGAGCAGGTTGCATCTGCAGCTTTACACGGTGGTGCGCCCTTGCTCCAGGTTGCCACGGGGGGGGGGGGGGCGAGGGTGGAGGAGGAGGGGGGGAGATGGGGAGAGGGGAGAAAGGCTCCCCATGCATTGCCACTCACTCAGGAGCAGTAGTGGGGCCAGAGGGTTGGAGCAGCAGTAGCAGCAGCAGCAGCAGCAGCAGGCCAAGGAGGACTACAAGCAGAGAAGCACGCGCCGTATCAAGGAGGGGGGGGCAGGAGGAAGCTGACGAGGAGAGCAGAAGGGGCAACCTGTTGGGGGAGCTGTAGAAACAGGAGCAAGAGCAGCGAGAGGCAGAAGGAGCCGGAGTAGAAGGAATCAGAAGGGGATGAGCAGGAAGAGCAGAAGCAGACGCAACAGCAGCAGGTGCAGGAGATAGAGCATTAGCAGGAGGGAGGGATGATGGGGCAGAAAGGGAGGATGGACGGTGGAAGAGGAGCACTTGTGCCGTTGCCGCGGAAGGAGGTGTCCAAGAGGCCAAGAGGGAGGGAGATACCAGGAGAGAGACGGGAGTGGACGGGGGGAGGGTAGGAGGGAGGGAGGAGGCGGGCGGAGGAGGGTGAGAACACGGATGATGCCGAGGAGGGCGACGACAGAGGATGGGGGAGGGGGGCTTTCTCGTACGATTGCGCGCCCGCAGCTGGCCCTCGGAGGCGAGCAGTGCCCAGATCGGGCCCAGCCGCAAGGCAGCCGCCCCGAGGAGAGGCACCTTGCATCCCGACCCCGGCCGCCAGCCGAACCCGCCCGCCACCCGCTCCGCCCGCCGCGCGGTGGGGAGGCACTCCGGGACCCCCCCAAACAACTCGGGGGAGGCCGGACGTGCGCCCGAGCAGGCGTGCCTTGGAGAGAGGGCCTCAGGGCCCACCTCGGGGCGCCCAGCGGCTGCACTCTGGCGCCCACCGTGGCTGGAACCGTGGCCGCTGGGACACCTCACTGGGGGTACGTCGCCCTGGGGGTGCGTTTGGGCCTTCCCCAGCAAAATAACAGACGGTAGGTTCACGCCGTGCCGACCCGGCTCGACCCGGCTGGGACCCCAGCGCAGGCGTTCAAGGTTTAGCGCCGCCAGTGGCCCAGAATCGGCCAGCCTGGAACGAAAGATCGGGCGATTTGGAAACGCGCGATCCTCTAAGGTTGAACGATCCACGCAATGTCAGAAAGCAATGCCAGGGTCACCACGACACGAACTTGCCGTAGAAAAGAGTGTGTTTTTAGGGTGGGGAGGCACGGCAGCCCCCTTCCAACCATCGGGCGTGGCGTAATGGGGGGCGACGCAGGTGGGGGTGGAAACATGTGCCTTTTTTGTGCACCTTGGGGGGCCCAAGAGGGACACGAAAGGTACACGTTTCTTCGTTCCCTTCTTGCCGCCCTCCATTAAGCAAGGCCCCGCAAAAAGCGACAATGATTTCACCAGGGATATTGGGGGGTTCTCGCGACCCCCCCCTTAAACAAAAAGCGCTGCGGCGGTTTTAATATCTTGTGGGGGTGCCCAGACCCCCCACCAGAAGAAAAGACCAGGCAGTAGTTTTCCATTGGGGGTCCCCCAATCGTTTTTGTTTCGAGGGTTCTCGAGAAACCCCTTTCGAGCACGTAACGTGGGTTCGGGGTGCGTTTCGGGAGGGGTCCTCGGGGAGGAGGGGGGGAACATGGTCGGGGGTTCAAGGGCGTTTTCGAGGGGGGCTCGTGAATGCGCTGTGTTATGCGCTAGCTTGTGTGAAGCAAAAGCGGGAGCCCCCCCTGGACGTCCCTGGACCCTCCTTCTCGAAATTATTTAATCGCTTCGCTCATTCCGCCGGCCCTGGAGCGCTATCTGGGGCCTCTTGGGGCCGTCTTGGGGGCTTCTTGGGAGCGTCTTGGGGCTCCTTGGCGACGTATTGGGCTCCCCTGGGGCTTCTTGGGGGGGCTCTTGGGGGCCCCTTCGGGCGGGAGGGGGACGGGGAGTTCCTCACATGTACATGTTATATCCTGGCACTTCCCGATGTTAGTGTCTGTGTGCGAGAATCTTAAAGAAATAGTATGTGGCGACTGAGCGCCCCAAAAGCGATGCCTGCTACATCCGGGTGATCTTCAGACTCCAGGGAAAGAGAGAGAGAGAGAGAGAGAGCGAGAGAGAGAGAGAGAGAACGAGAGAGGAGTCGGCGGTGCCAAAACCAGCCTTTGGCTTGAGACGTATGCACGAACTGTTCGCGAACGGGCATGCGTAACACCCTTTGGCGGATCCCCCATTGGGATGCCCAAGCGTTGTGCTTGCTACATCGCGGTGACCATAGGGCTCTGAAATCAGAGTAGTCGAGCATCGTTTCGCCTTACGCAGCGCCTTACGCATGCCCACAATCTGGCCGCGATCGGGGAATCGCAAGACTCCATGGCGGATCCTCCCTGGAGTGCCTACTTGCTACATCGCGGTGATCCCGAAGTTCTCAAAAGACAGTAGCAGCGGACGCCAAACAAGCGAACCGTTCGAGACATCCCCACGCATGGGCCGCGACTGGGGACATTCCGCACACCTTGGCGGCTCCGCCTTGGGGTGCCCGAGTGCTATGCCTGCTACTCGTGATGATCACGAAGCTCTCAAAAAAGAGGAGTCGGGGACGTCAAGCGAGAGAACCGTTCGAGGCATCGCCACAATATTTGCGCGAACGGGCGAGTGTCCTCCCCTGGTCGCTCCTCCTTGGGGTGTCCACATGCTCTTCCTGTTAAACCGTGGTGATTGGGTCACGACGCTTTCAAACGGAAAGGCTGGGGGACGCCAAACGAGCGAACCGCTCGAGACATCCCGACAAGTTGGCTGCGAACTGGTAAGTGCACGCTCCCCTGGCGGCGCCTCCTTGGGGTGCCCGAATCCGATGCTTGCGACATCTCGTTGACGTTGCGGCTGAGCGTGTTCATGAGCGTGTCCAATCATGATCAGATCTAAGTGCAAATGGAAATGAGCGTGGTTGAGTCGGAACGGGAGTGAGCAGGAGGGTGAGTGAGTATGAGTACGAGTGAGTCTGAGCGTGAGTGAATCTGAGTGTGAGTGAGTCTGGATGTGAGTGACTGAGTGTGTGTGTATAAGTTCGGGCAGGACTGAGATGGGTCTGAGCGGACCTGGGTATGGTGAATCTCTGCAGTTTAGTATTTGTTGGCCTTCCGACCATCCCACCACCGTGCCTGGGTTGTGGGTCAGAGTTCTCAGGAATGCTTCTTCGGGTCTCTTCGAAGCGCTCTCGGAAGCCTCTTGGGAGCAGTTCGGGGGCCTCTTGGGAGCCTCTTGGGGGCCTTTCGGAGGCCTCCAGGGTTCTCTTGGGTACCTTTTCGGGCCTTATGAAGGCCCCTTGGCCCCACAGGGGCGAGGGCTCGAAATGTCAGTTCGGGTTCCCCTTTGGGGCCCCCTCTTGGGGCCGTCTTTGGGCCCTCTTGGGCCGTCTTGGGCGCCTCGTGGGCCGTCTTGGTGCCCTCTTGGGCAGTCTTGCGGCCCTCTGGGGGCCTCGCTTCTTGGAGGCTTCTGGGGGTGTCTTGGAGGCCTCTTGGACCGTCTTGGGGCCGTCTTGGGCGTCTTGGAGCGATCTTTCGGCGACTCGGAGCACTCTTGGAACATCTTGGGGGTCTCTTGTGGCTCTGTTGACCCGTCTTGGAGCTCTCTAGGGCCTCAACAAGTCCTCCGACAAGCCGCGGAAACCGAGACAATCGGAGGTGGATAGACCTCCTACCCTGACACGTCGATTAGGGAATTGGCCGTTTTCGGCTCGCGGGAGGGCGTCGCGGCCGTCATTTTTGCGGGTCCAGGTCCGTCGGTCTTGGTTTTAGGCCGTTTTCACTAAGGAGAGGTTTACTAAAGGGAGGTTTGTCCACTGCCGAGACAAGCCCCCAGGAGATTTGTAAATTTCGGGCTCGGGCCTCTTAACGACTCCTCAGGAGTGAGGATTGAGGCTCAGAGTATTGGGCAATGGAGTTAAGGACACGCCTACTCGGTGCCCAGCGGCACGGTGGCGGTTGAATGAGCTCGTGTGTATGAGTAATTCTGAACGCAGAAGGGGTAATGGGGCAGTGAGCGAGATTGAGGCGGAGAGATCCCATGAATAAGTGGAGCACGAATTTATGAGATGGGAAAAATCTGGCACCCACGTCACCATGGGGGGTCCCACGGGAGATTGACCCTCAGCGCGCATTGATTGGTCCCGGTGCCCGAAATTGAGTGTGTGTGTGTGTGTGTGTGTGTGTTTGTACATGCAGTCCGTCATGAACACCGTGACGCAGGATTCGTAACCAGACTAATCAGACTCTTCTCATTGGCAGGGTGTTCCAAATCCCAAAGCTCTGTAGCGACCCCTCTGCAAGCACCTTGCTGGCACCCCCTATTGGCTCCATCGCTGCTCGACTTGTGGCCGGCCTTTGCTGGGCTCGTTCCCGCAGCGTGTCCTGTTTACTCGTAAGGACAGCGCGTTTCACGGGGCAGGTCGACGCATGTGACGTGGACGCGGCGTCCTCGCGGGCCGCCCGCGCGGAGCGAAGAGTGCCTTGGGCATGGGGGGGTGTTCGCGACGGGAGGGCAGCTCTCCTCATGCTTCTCCTGCTCCGCCTCCTGATCACGCTCCTCCTCGTCCTCCTCGCAAAGGCAGGCTCACGAGTTCTAGCATACCTCTGACAAGGACCGACTGGTTTGGTGAGTCTGCTCTTCTTGTTGTCGCTGTTTCTCCCCCGTTGCTCCTCTTCTGTCTGTGAGGGCAGTGGCACGCGGTTCGGTTTGATGGAGACGGACGTTCTGCGGATACTCGGCGAGCGCGGTTTTGGGACCCTGGAGGACTTGGTCGCCCGGGACGTCTTCGGAGAACGACCCGAGCCCCAAAATCGTGCGGCGACCCCGAGTTCCCACCGACTCACCACGGGGTGTGGTCACCACACCGCCCAGGGGCCCCCAGAACGATTAGGGGGGGGGGGGGGGCGC